TATTAAAATCCCAATTGATTGAATCCGCCAAGGAAAACCCTTTTAAGCAATATTGTTGTCTCACTTTTCCCAATAATGGAAAATTTTAAATTATTCTTTTTCAGTATTGAATTTCCATGGGTACCGATTGCGCCCCACCATTAGCAGACTTGCTTTTGTATTCATATGAAGCAGATTTTATTCAAAATCTTAAGCTTGAGTCAGAATACGGGTGTTGGTGCGCATCTTCACTAGACACGGATTCTGATACGCTACTCTCCTCATAAGCCCATGACAAACGGTGTTAAAAAAGCTGGGATTTTTTTCTTGTAAGTTGTAATTGTCACCTGCGTTTCGCAGTGGGTCTGCTCTAGATTGGCGAATTAAGGAGTTGATCCTTATGTCGCAAGTTTTAAAAAAAAGTTTTAAAAATTAAAATCTACAAAGCAGTAGCAGTGGTGCCTGCTCTTGAATCCTGAAACTTATCTAAAAGCTCTAAAAACCAACCATTTCTTGAATAAAAACAAAGGACTCCTGCATGTCCGCCATTATAGCAGCTTCTGGCTTCAACAGCTGTAAATGAACAGGCTAGTATGGATGTTTCACTTCCGTAACAGTAGCCACCTCCCTATATCCATGAATTATTGCTTCCTTTTCCAAACATAGATGATAATACAGGTAAGCCTCTACAAAAGACAAATCTGCTTGAATGTATGTTTTATCTTAAAGCGATAAACAAATGCTAATCCATGTTTGATGTATTAATTTTGAATTGTCAAAAATACTTAGCATTTTTCAATTCTTTTTAAATCTTAAATAAACAGAGTTTAATAAATATGTTTATTTTTTTAAACCCGGATAATGATTAAGAATTGTAAAATACTAAAACAGCAATGATTGTGAGGCTTGCGTTCGCCGCAAAATGTCAGCATAGTTAGCGACTGTTCCTTCGACAATAGCCCGGTGCTGGAGATGTAAACTTAAGATATTTCGGTTATTTGAAATTTGCTAAGTACACCGTAAGGGACAGTAGTGGAATTACCACATTAAATGGAATCGGACTATTTTTGTTCAGAAAGTAAATAAAATAAATACAGCGGAGCAATCAGACACGCTGATAGTTTTTTGTACATCATTACTAGTTCAAATCACACGCCTACGTTTAGCTTTAGTTAGACACTGACTCATGTGTATAGCTTACTACATTCAGCAGTAAGATGGAACAAAAGTAAACAAAATCAGTCTGTGTATAATGGTCATCCTTGTGAACAATATTGATTGCGAAAGTCTTAAGGTACGTTATTAAGTACAGACTTACATATCATAGAAACATAAGGATATCTAGATTTTACTCTTACCAAAGGCATCTACACGTGTGAAGTAGATTCGCCTTCTAGTGGTGTTAATCGATCAGTTTAAATACTAGTAACACGGGTCAGCATCCAAAGATTATGGGTCAAAGCATTTTGCTAACTTGCTAAAAAAGAATGAGGCGACCGATCCATGGCACCAAGTATTCCCACGCAGGACCTTTATGTTGATTCTCAAAATTTTATAAAATCAGAAACACAGATACATGAACCTCCAGGCAAACGTTACAATCTTTGTCATAAGCTTTGGCTTATAAACACACCAACACATTACTGTTATTACCCGGAATATCCAATGCTCCTACAAGTCACGTCAGCTTCCCGTCTGTCCCATCCACTGTCACATACACTATGCCATTGCCCTCCTAGATATATTTCGACCCGGCCTTCATGCATAGAGCTTCCATTAACCATTCTCACCGAATCTAAAAGTGCAAAAAGAGATTGACCTGTTTGCTAAAGTTGAGAAAGTGAGAGAGAATCAAGAAATTATACGAAGATAACGAACAGTATTAATTAAAGAAATTTTTATACTGATTAAATATGAGTTCCTTACCGTTTCCTGAGTGGTAACAAACAACACCTGCGTGTCCGTCATTAACACAGCTACTGGCTTCAATTATTGATAGTCCACACTTGAACAAGGAGGTTTCACCTCCGTAACAGTTAAAATTACTGAACATCCATTTGCGTTTGCTTCCTTCTCCAAACATAGATGATACTGCCGGGAGACCTCTAATGAAGTCAGTCAATAATGAAAAGTACTAACGAACAGTGATAGTTGCAAAATTTCAAATTTTGACGTTTTTTTCATATTAATTGTTAGTCTATTATTTATACACTTAATTGACGACAGATTTTCCTGTTATATCCCGATAATGAGAATACACGGTGGGTGTGACCTGTCGGCAGGGGTTTCTCACTTCTCCATGGCATCTGATCCCTCCTCTGATGTTTTGGAGGCCCATGTTTGATCTGCTCCTATTTTTGTTTTGTATAGTATTATGGACTTTAATATTGAATATTGTTCGTCTGTTCGTTATCTCCATATCCTTCATTTACGAACACATTTCAAAGATGGGAAGAAGTGCCTACAAAGAGTCGATATCCCCTGACCATCGGTAACTTGCCGTTAGCTTCAATGTACACAATACTTTTAAAATGTTAATCTAACTACAACATTTTATGATAACTGTGAATACTTCGATTTTCTAACGTTAACTTTCTTTGCTCTTTATAGCAATAGAGGAAAACTCGTTTAATACGAAGACGGATATTGTGAATTTACGGATATAGCGAAGTCATCTTGGATCCCCAGCTATACTAATTTAATGAATTTCTTATACGGTTATAACGAATTACGGATATAGCGAAGTAATTTTATAGGTCCCCGTGACTTTGTTATAACTGAGTTTTGCTGTATACTTAATCACATAAATTGGAATTAACGCTGAAATGGCTATGACGACGTGTTGGTTATGTTAATTCCGATTTTAAAAACAATGCTTGACGCTGACGAATGACACATGACTCGCGTGTACGTTCAAGAAGTCCTTGGAAAAATACTCACACACTACACACTAAGCACAGACAGACAATACTGGTGAGTTGGGTTTTCTTCTCATATTTCTACTCTGAATTATCCGGATTAAAGATGGAATATATTTCATTAAAACACAACAAAACTTTTACCTTTCTTAAGTATTAGGGATAAACTATGCTTTATAAAAAGGATTCATCAATCAAACGCGTCCCGAACATTGCGGTATCAATAAGTTCCAGATTTAGCGAGTTCTATCTGAAAAAAATATATTTCTATCTGAAAAGCTATAGCGAGATATAAGCATGATCTTATACCTCTATTTTGAGGGAAAAAAACTTCAATTCTCTGTCCGAGCACCTTTAAACTAACCACCCACTTCATTTAATTTGAAAAATATATACAAGAATGAAGGATATGGAGATAACGAACAGTATTCTATATCAAAGTCCATAAAACAATACAAAATAGGAACAGAACAAACACGGACCTCTTAAACATTAGAGGTGGGATCAGGTGCCATGGAGAAGTGAGCATCCCCTGCCGACCGGTCACACCCGCCGTGTGCTACTTGTTTTGATCGGGAAATAACGGAAAAATCCATCGTCAATTCACTGTATAAATACTGGACTAACAATTTTAAAACTAGTATGAAAAACGTCAGTCAGCATTTGGCTCAATGATACAAGGTCATACAAGGTCACTGCATCAACCATAGAACTTACAAAATGATGACTTTAAACAAGAAGACAATATGTGTGGTTTACAAGTGAACATAAGGAACTTGCATGAGTATTATACCAATGATTTAAATTTCACACCGTGAGCCCTATGTGTTGATCAAATAATGAAACACTCTAGACTCAAAAATAGTAAGCGACACCTCAGCAAAATTAAGAACCATGATGTAATATTTAATATATTATTACGACAAAATAATTTATGAAATGCCACCTTTAAGCGCAGAAGTTGAAATCACTGATACATCAACCTATTTTCCAGTAGTTGCCTCAATTCAAAATTCATCGTACTCAGAAATTTTTTGTAGGAATCGGAAAATGCAAACCCAAAAACCAAGTGATTGCGGAACATTACTACACAATTAGTAAAATATTTTATGTCAAGTTCTATGGGGAAAATCTAACAAGTTGACTTATGAATGATAGTTGATATATTTAATTTGATGTTGATGCATCTGTGTGTCACGTTAAAAACCAGAAAAAGTGCAAAATATTTAATCTTACAGACTAACAATATGTGCCTTCGAGTCTTTTCGTAAGAAAAAAAAATGGTAATATGAAAAGTTCCTTAAAAACTTACGTTTTCAAAGACCATAGAATTATTCTGTGAGAGATTTGAGAAAGATAAAAATAAGTCGAAATGTAGGAAAGAACATTTTTGTAACATTTTTCTTTTACCCTGAATATCCCAAACTTTTACAAAGGACACCGGCTTCACGTTTGTCCCATCCACTGTCACAAACACTTCGCCATTCGCCGTTAAACAAAAGCTCTGCTCGACCTTCATCTACTGAGCTACCATTTGTAATTCTTGCCGTGTCTAAAAACATGTGAATCGATCAGTTGCTAAAAGAACATTTAAAGAGATCAGCCAAGAAATCTTTAGTTTCTTTAAAAAGTTACTAAAATAAACTCAGCAAAAAAATTTAAAAAGATCATAAAACAGATTAGCAAAACAAATAATATGTTAACCAACCATTTCCTTTGTCATAACAGATGACTCCAGCACGTCCGCCATTTGTACAACTGCTTGATTCAATGACTGAGAGTCTACATCCTAGTAAAGACGTTTCACCTCCGTTACAGTAAACATCCCCCAAAATGCGAGTTTGTCCACTTTGTTCTCCGAACAAAGACGACAGAGCAGGCAGGCCTCTTAAAAAATAGCGGGGCAAAAAAATGTTTATCGGCCAAGAGTATTTTTTTTTAATTTACTTAAAAATCAAATAACTGAAAACACTCATTAATTGCTTTCAATTGAATAACTTTTGTTAATTTTAAAAATATCCATTGAATTTAAAAATACCTTTGTCTATGCTTAAAAAATATATTTACCCGGAATACCCTATTCTTCTGCAAGTCACATCGGCTTCACGTTTGTCCCAACCACTGTCACATATACTGAGCCATTCACCATTCATCAAAACCTCTACTCGACCTTCTTTTTCCGAGGTTCCATTAACGATTCTTACCGTATCTAAATTGTCATTCTAATTGAGAGGCTAAGAAACTTGGGAAAAAAAATGGTAAAAGAAATAATAATAATAATAATAATAATAAAAACATACCATTTCCTGAGTGATAGCATAAGGCTCCGGCAAGTCCGCCATTCACACAGTTGCTGGGATCAACTACTGATAGCCGACATTCAAACAAAGAGGTTTCACCTCCATAACAGTAAACATCACTCAACATCCATACTTGTTTGCTTTCTTCTCCAAACATAAATGGTAAAGCAGGTAGACCTCTAATAAATATTTATATAAATTGAGACGGAATAGAATGATTGATTGTCTCAATCGCAGCTTCTCGGGCCTTTCTGACTATCGGAAAAACAACCGCGAATGTATTACGTAGACGCCATAATAACCCAACCCCCCACTTTTCACGATCTTTGAAATAAATGCATGGAGACCATTTATCTGTGGAATATGGAGTTTAACTTTTTTCAATGTAATGATATTTTACTTTATACACAACCATTCCCCACGATAAAGTAAAGTAAAGGCTTTTCGATATCATTGACAGCTACTTTTTCAAGAAAAATGGAACTCGTAAATTTACTTAACTTAGTTATTTGCAAAAGTATTTTGGTAAAAAAACATTCTGATTGTACACACAAGTACTGTGAAGTCGACATAAAAAGATGCTTGGGGTTCTGGTTGACAAAATCTGTTGTTTCTGGTGACAAGGTCTTCCAGCCAACATATTAGAATTCCCATGTGTACCAATTGCGCCGCATTATTAGCGGACCTATTTTATATTCATATGAAGCAGCATTTGTGCAAAAAACACTTGCTGTGACCTTCAACTCGACATTTAGATCTATCGACGACGTATTGTCAATTAACAATTGTAATTTCCATTTTTATGTTGATACGATATCCTGGGGAGCTCGAGGTAAAAAATGCCACAGAGTCTGACACATCTATTTCATCTTTTGGATATTTGACTTGAAAAAAGGCGTTGATGGTAATCTAACAACCAAGCTCTATAATAAACCTGATGACTTTAACTTTTCTATCGTCAACTTCCCTTACTTATGCAGCAAAATGCCTTCTTCAATCGCATGCGGAGTTTATGTATCTCAGTTGATTCTATAGGTGGCAAAACATGCTCTACGTATGAACAATTTCTAAAAAGAGGTAAATTATTGACAAACAAGTTGATGAAACAAGAATTTCCGCTCATTTAAAGGAATTATTTCTTAAGTTCTATGCAATGAGCTTGTCAGCAAATACAATTTATCATTGAGTCAAATGTTTACTGAAGGTTTTCATACTAATTGTTAGTCCATTATTTATTTCTACGCTGAATTGACGATGGATTTTCCCACTTTTTCCCGATCATGATAAGGAGAACATGATAAGGTATCTCACTGCTTAAAGTCCTCAGGGACGAGTAGACCTAAATTTACAGCTCCCACCAGCAATCACTATGGATTGCAGTTAAGTGTGAAGTTTTACGTTACGGCACAATCTAGTTTGACAGCTGCACCCAAGGTAAATAGTACACGCCTCCTAACCGCAAGGTTTACGACTGGAACTTTCTTCTAATCGCTGATTGGTTGCTCGTACAACAGACTAATTCTGTGTCAATGTTGATAATATGAGTTGACCAATCGCGTGAATTGTTTACGCTGGATGCATCTGTCGGAAAAGATAGTGACGTAATGCGAAACTTCCCACTGAACTGAAATTGATAGTATTGGGGTCTCAAAAGACTTCAAATAAAACACACGAACAAAGAATATTGTTAACGACGTAAAATTATAAAAGTTTTCTGTACATACTGAGGTGTCCAGGAACAAAATAGATTTTTATGTCCTGATTAAAAGTACAAAAAGTTATTTTACCTATAGAAATAAATGATTTATAAAAAACTTAATTGAAACGTTTGATAGATAATTCCTTAGAAATTACCCTGAATATCCAATGCTTTTACAAGTCACTTCAGCATCATTTTTGTCCCAACCTTTGTCACATACACTTCGCCAATGATCGTTAAAATACACCTGTACTTGGCCTCCACCTGGAGAGCTCCCATTTACTATTCTTACAGAATCTGAAAATTAAAAAGAGGAAATCACATGAGAACTATAGTGCCAAAGGCGAGAAAAAATGCTCACCGCCATCACATGGGATTATTTAAAGGGTGTAGAAAATATAAACTGAATGAAACAAAGCAACCCAAACAAACAAACATCTACATATTTTAGAATAGCTGTAAGGGAAAAAAGGTATTTATGAGCATTTCAGAATTGCAAAATTTTGACAAAAATTCAGATGCACTGTACAATATGTGCAAAAAATAAGTGCCAAAAAATGAAAGACTGCAACATCTCGTTCATTCATTTAATCAGAATTATTATTTAAAACTCTTTAACAACAAAGACGTTTTGGTCCCACTGTGGGACGTAGAATGGTCCTTCGGATGAGACCGTATAAACTGTGGAACCGTGTCGCAGTCCGTGCTCGCACAAATAAGATCACCCACTGCTTATTATAACTGGCCGTAATGAAGTGCAGAATACAGGACAAAGTTTGTAAATCTCAACCGGCGGGTCGTGGTGTTCAATAGGATTTGCAAAAGAAACAGTTAAACAACTTATAAATAATCAATAAGATAGAACAATTCAAACAAGGATTAAGTATACACAGTATGTTCCGAAGCATCCAAGGCACCGGATCCCACCTCCGATGTTTTGGAGGCCTGTGTTTGCTCTGCTCCTATTTTGTTTTGTTTGATGGAGTTTTGATATTAAATACTGTTCTTTATCTCCATGCATGTATGTTTCATCAGATAACCATTAAATCAAATATTTTCATGGTTTGAGATAATAATATGGGTTCTTGGGGATTCGGTTTCGTTGCTGAAAAGCGTATAGTGGTTATTAATTTGATATTTGTTTTAAACTTAGTGGATCTCCTCGTGTGTTTTCTCTTACCAAAATAAAAAAAAATCAAGTGGGAAAAAGTCTAACTTGCTATAGACAAGAATAAATAGCTTCTTATGAGAAAAAAGGGAATTATTCTTTCATTGTATGCATCGTAGAAGCTCTTATTCTGAAAGGAAAAAGAATATTTCTAAATGTATTCGTTCGTGAGAAGCTGAGACTGCCAAGGAAATCACATGATCAATCAAGAAAAAGGTTAAAGATAAAGATAGATTAAAGATCGTATTTTCTTCAGGTTGTTTTATATCTTATTTTTGAAAAACTATTTTGACAGCATGAGGAAGCCTTGTGAAAAAAGGGATAATGTATATTGTAATTATATTGTAAGGTTCACGTTCAACTGAGAGAAACCTCGTTTGCAGGTGATGAAGGTATGTAGCTGCATTAGTAAGGGGAGTTCACGATTAAAAAGTTAGTCATCACGTCTGTCATAAAGCTTAGCTTAGATTACAATTAAGGTTTTCCAAAGGTCAATGTGTCTAAAAAAATATTTTTTACAAAAGCCCCAAACTTATTTGAGGTATAAAGTTATAACATTTACAGTTCACAAATATATCATTGATAAACAGATAGAAAGTATCACCTCTGATGTTTGGGAGGTCCGTGTTTGCTTCTAATATGTTTTATTTTATGGAGTTTTGATCTTGAAATCTGTTCGTTATCCCCATATATTTTATTTTAAAAAAAGATATTTTTGAGAAAAAATATATCAAAACTTTTATATATTTATAAGATGCTAAATTTTGTCCTTTAAGTGAGAACAATCATTGCAGAAAAAAACCTGTTTAAAAATGAAGGCCAAGTTGGACGTAAATAGTCTCTCAAAGGCTGTAAAAGTTTTAACTTTATAAACCACATAGTTTTGGGGCTATTGTAAAAAGCATGGCCTTCGGAAAAACCTTAACGTCTTTTTCAAGTACAATATCTAAATATAAAGTACATGTGTCAGACTTTGTCATATCTTATATTTCAAGTCAACAGGATATATATTTTTTATCGACATAATAATGGAAATAACGGTTACCACTGTTGATCAACAACACGCTGTCGACATATCTAAATGTTTAAGTCCAAAGCAATTGTTTCCTTCTTTTTATGAATAAGATTTTGGACAAATGCTATCAATAGTACCTTACACGAGGCCCCGAACGAACCAGGAGCCTTTAATTCATAATTCATAAGTTTGGAAGAGGTACTATGCTAATTATAAAATTGCACTTGATCTGTATAAAATCCTTCTTTCACAATTAGCAGATTTATTACAGATCAATAAATGATACGTACTAAGATTATGACTAAGAGACTTTCAGATGCCTTTTAGAGAATAATGCATTTTCTATAAATACAAGGACTAGAATTAAAAATTATTATCATGTTAACCAACCATTTCCTTGGTCATAACAGATGACTCCAGCAAGTCCTCCATTTTTACAACTGCTTGATTCAACGAGTGAGAGTCTACATCCTAGCAAGGACGTTTCACCTCCATAACAGTAAATATCCCCCAAAATGCGAGTTTGTCCACTTAGTTCTCCAAACAAAGACGAAAGAGCAGGTAGAGCTCTGAAAAAAAAAACCCAGAGCGGCTTTTATTCCATCTTAACACGAAAGAAGATGAGTTTGTGAAACACTATGCACCCGGCTGCAACAAAGTTCGAAAAAGCTATTTTTAGCATATAGGGCACAGTCAAGGTCACAATATCATTTAAATGATATTATATAATTAATATCATTTGAAAGAGTTTAATTAGTGATGTATGCATACCAAATATGGAGTCTCCATCTCCCACATTTCAAAAGTTATGACAAAGGTTAAAATTGAAAACAGACAGACAGCCAGACAAACATGACAAAAACAATATACGCCCGCGATCTATCGATCCGGGTGCATAAAACATTCTTGAAAGCAAAACGCATTAATTCTAATATTGTTAAAAAATCTGAAGCCTTTCAACTGATTACTATTATAATATTTCTTAAGCCATTTATCCATTATTATTTCTTGATTACATCTATAAATCATTAATTGTTAATCTATTGTTTTAATAAATTAATTTTTAAAGTTAAAAAAAAATTTTTGCAAGACCCAAGATCGTGTAACATTACAAAGATTAAGTAAAAACCGTTGTTTTTTTTAAACAAATCAAATTATCGATTATATGATACTAATAAAATCTTCTAACCTGGAATAGCCAATACTTCTGCAAGTCACATCGGCTTCAGGTTTGTTCCAGCCACTGTCACAGATACTGAGCCATTCACCATTCATCAAAACCTCTACTCGACCTTCTCTTTCTGAGGTTCCATTAACCATTCTTACCGTATCTAAATTGTCATTCTAATTGAGAGGCTAAGAAACTTGGGACGAAAATCGTAAAAGAACTAATAATAATAAAAACATACCATTTCCTGAGTGATAGCATAAGACTGCGGCATGTCCGCCATTAACACAGTTGCTGGGATCAACTACTGACAGCCGACATTCAAACAAAGAGGTTTCACTTCCATAACAGTAAACATCACCCAACATCCATACTTGATTGTTCTTTTCTCCAAACGTAGATGAAGGAGCAGGTACACCTCTGACAAATATTTGTATATATTGAGAATGAATTCATTGCAATTAAAGAATAAGTCGCTCGTGGGGTGCAGTGGTTAGCGTGTTTGCTCTATTGCAGGTCGCAGAATAAGATATGAATAAGATATTGTCGCTCGGTATGAATCCCTAATATGGGAATTTGATACTGGTGTCGTAAAGTGAGACTTCGTCCATAGTAAGACTTCCCCTGGAATGTGGGCTATATAGGGAGATTTTCCCCGAAATACTAGCTTTATGCGGAGACCTCCACAGGGGAAGTTTGTCATGAATCCAGTTTATCGAGGAGGAAGTCTAACAACATAGCTAGTCTCCATCCTTGCATAGCAAGTCTTTCCCCTCCATTGTTGATTCCTGAATAGTAACTTTAAGGGACATTGGCAAGTCATGGTTATCCGAAGCAAAAGGTTTTATAGATGTTTTTAAAATTATATAAATGTGATACAGAGTGATCCCCCGTGAACAATTCTCTACACCAAAGACTTTTCTCTGAAAACCAAAACGAGCGTGCTTTACTGGAAAAAACATAAGCACGAGTTCTCTGTCCTTGTTTCCAGTCGCTGCCGATAATAATTGTTTTAAAGACCCTAACGCTCGTTAAACAATGTCATGGTATCAGTCTAAAAGCATATACGTTTCCTTCGAAGGGTAGAATCATCTCGACAGGGAATGCTAGCTCCTCCACAATCTGATTAAAATCAGATCAAATTCTGATGGTCGCTTTGTAGAGCAACCATCAGAATTTCAAAGCGTAACAAAGATCTGATTTTAATCAGATTGGCTCCTCCATGGCACCTGATCTCCCCTCTGATGTTTTGGAGGTCCGTGATTTCTCTGCTCTTGGTTTGTATTGTTAAATGGAATTTAGAGCTCAAAAACTGTTCTTTATCTCTTTATATTTCAGAAGAAATAGATGATAATGGTATGAATAAAACGTAATTCTGAGATACAATATAACTTATAAAAAGATAATTAAATAGAAATTACCCTGAATACCCAATGCTTTTACAGACGACCTCAGCTTCTCTTTTGTCCCAACCTATGTCACATACACTCTGCCAATGATCGTTAATATAGACCTCTACTTGGCCCTCATCTGGAGAGCTTCCATTTACGATTCTTACCGAATCTGAAAATAAAATACCAATCATATGAGTATTACACTGCTTAGGAAAACATTAATTTCACTGCAACAAAAAAGGCATGTACCCGAAGTGTGAAAAATATTAAAGGAATTTTTTTTACCCTCAGGTGATTTAAAGTTTCTGTTTAGCAACCTTTATTATTTAGATTTTAAATATCTTATGGAGGTTATGATATGATTATTTTTAAAATTGATTTCCTCAGTTTTTGTTCTTTATTAACTGATTTAGTTCAAGTTTCTAATTGAATAATTGTGGTAATTTAATGCAACTTTCAGGTATATCTTCTTCACATATATGTATCTGTAAAGAAAATGATACAAATTTAATATATTTAAAATTCTGTTTCTCCAAAAAAAATCTCAAAACAAACTTGTGTGATTTTCATCTTAATCTGCCATATATAATGTTGAAAACTGACACGACATTAGACAGTGAATGTATATTAATAAATAACAAATGACAGATTGAAAGAATAATGTTTTAGGGAAATAATACACATCTTAAAAAATCAGTATAAAATGTCCGCCGAGAGTCATCATTTCTTATCCCTTCGAGCCAGACTCACAGCACTTGGAAACGTTCGAACATCTCAAATTCAAAATTAAAACAAAGGTTGTCTCTCTCTCTCTCTCGACGCTCTCTTTCTATCTACCGGCATCTATCTATGAGTGCTTAAAAGGAGATTAGAGTATATTCCATGTTTCTCATACTAGGGACAAGCAGTAAATCTCTTAAAATTGTACCAAGAAGTTTAAATCAGCAGAACAAAGTCAAACTGAAAGATGTATTATTGTTTTTGTAACCAACCGTTTAGTGCCTGGTAACAAACGACTCCAGCGTATCCGTCATCAATACAGCTGCTTGATTGAACTACTGAGAGTTGACATTCTAAGAAAGAAGTTTCACGTCCATTACAATAAACACGCAACATCTGCATTTGTCCGTTTACTTGTCCAAACTTTGACAACGAAGCCGGCAAACCTCTAAAAAAAATGGAAATATGCATATCTGAAATCGTAAAGCATCATGGATATGTGTATGTGTTACAGAATTTTTTGAATTTTGTTCGTGGCAGAATTGTTTTAGTATTAAAGACACAAAAAGTAATTAATGAAATTTGTTTGGATAACAAAAAGTATTCCAGCTCAAAAGTCCATTTAACATTGCAAAATAGGAGCAGAGCAAACACGGAACTCCAAAACTCATAGTTGGGATCAGGTGCCGTGGAGGAGTGAGCATTCCATGCAGACCGGTCACACATGTCGTGTGCTCCTTGTCATGATCGGGAAATAACGGAGAAAATCAGTCGACAACCCAGAGTGTAAATAATGGCCAAAAATTCAATACGGAAAAACTCTGTCAACATTTGACTCAATGATAAATTGTATTTGCTGACAAGGTCATAGTATCGAACATAAAACTGTCGAAATGATGACTTTAAACGAGACTGCTGATATTTTTGCTTCATCAAATTGTTTTTCAATAACTTAGCTCCTTTTAGAAATTCGTCATACGAAGAGCAGCTCTCGTGTTTTGAATGAACTAAGGGCTATTAACTCCATATGCAGGTGATAAATAAGTAAGGGGGTTTGACGATTGAAAAGTTAGTCATCAAGTTTATCATAAAGCTTTGTTATTTTTAAATAATTAACATCTTTTTCTAGAAAACGATCCAAATATGAAAAAAAAAATGAGTCGGACGCTGTGGTATCTTTTATTCCAAGCTCACAAGAATATATTGAGTCTACAAAAGAATGGAAATTTATAAATAAAAAAAAACTATTGTAAATTGACAATATACCATCGATATATCTAGATGCTGAGTTGAAGACCACTTGTAGAATGAAATCAAAATTCCTCTAAAAACAATGTTGTTATCAGCTTTGCAAGCAGGGACCAGTACGTATTGATCATGTAATCTATCTCATTCTTTTTTTCACTTCTGGATTATTGAATACAGAAGGATAAATGGTTTTCATGTAGCCCCTAATTCGCGATTTTAACATACAACTGATACCATTCTGACAAAGTGTCAAGGTATTCTCTTTTATGTCTGGTCCATTGCCTGGCGTAAACTTTAACTCTGCAGAATCCATAATATTCATGAACTTACGATGCCAGTTAAAGGATCGGGTCTCCCTACCTTCAGGAATTTTAAAAATTAGTGATCTACCCTTATTATTAACTATATTTACTTCACCTGTAATAATGTGTCCAACAGGACCATAGTTGATGAAGAACATGAACACGGTGGATAATTATGTTTTAGATATTAGATTTCCAGGTCCTGTAAAGTTTTCATGTAATTAAAAAGTTTGGAAGCAATCTTCGATGTATATTTGTAGGAAATACAAGTTGTAGTCTTTAACTTGAAATATGGTGGAGAACAAGACTGGAATATTTTGTGACAAGGATTATTACTTGTATTAACTGCGTCAATTCTTTTGTTGGCATATTGAAGTGTAAGGAACTAACAAATACGTATTGTTTTAACTACAGTTTCTTTAGTACAGGTGGCGTTTTCAGAAGCGTATGATTTACAATCTCCATAATCACAGATCTCAGCCTGTATTCTGGTGCCGAGGAATCACACAATGGACCTTCTTTGACCTTTCAAGAAGACTATTCAAAAGTTTCAAAGGGGCAGAGTATTAAGACCTGACTGTTGATTAACTTAAGGTAGTAACGAATCAAACGAGGCATCGTGTATTAAAGGGATTTCATCACATCGACATTGTTACACTGTGGACTGGAAAACATGTAAGAGGGTCGTTCAATAAGTAATGCAATAAACATTATTATAATACATGTTGAGGTTTAATTTTTTTTTTTCAAAATTGAAAACCCTTGAAAAAATTAACTCTCGATTCCAGCCTACATTCTGCATTTATTTAATTTAACAGTTATGGTAATTTGGTTATGAAATCTGTGTTCGATACAAAGAACACTTCAATGGTAATTAATGAATTATTTTAATACAAGCGCTGAATAGTAAATTGTCCCTAAATCCAGCTCTTGAAAAAAGGGGTGCTAGAGGATATTTTCCATTGAAATTAGACTTTGAAGCATCACCATATTTTGAAATAATCTTGGATAAGATTAAATGTTCCTCATATTTTTCTTATGTTTTGGCAAGTAAAATCAAACATAAATATATCAATAAAATATTATGTTTCAGTATTGAATCAATTTGAAATAGGTGAAAAATAAGCATTTTTTTTTTCTCTCTATAAACATATGTCCTCCCCCCGTGAAGCACAAAAAGCTTTGGTATGAATTCGTGAAATAACAGTCTATATTAACTGTCGAAAGGAATTTTGTTTCACGTGAAGGGGGGATGGAAATGATCTAAAAATATTCTTCGTTTTCCATTGTATTCTACATTGAACAAGATGTGATTGTGAAACACTGATGTCCCTGTATAGCAACATAGCAAAGGGTATGCTTTCTTAAATGCAGATCAAATATGTTGGTACCTAAAGTAAAGTTTTTTCCACAAGAAATTCAAATGTGGAATATAAAACGATAGCAACGCCTGTTCAAAGTTTATGATCAAGATTTACGTTTTCAAGGCAGGACAAACTCCGGGGTCAAGGTCAAAGGTTCAAGGCCTTGTCTTAAAGATTATATATTAGAAGGATGGAAGTGCTGGCACTTACCGTTTAAAAGTTATGGCCAAGGTTATAGTTTTAAAAAAAAGTAGGTCAAAGTCCAAGGTCAAGGTCAAAGGGTCAAAATTCTTAGTATCAAATTAAGTGTCTTTTCAAAAGAATTACATATGTGAAGTATGAAAGCCCTAGCCTTTATCCTTCGATAGTTAAGTCCAAGGTTAAAGTTTTTTCATAAATGCGAAAATCTTCCAGGTCAAGGTCAAAATGTCAAAGTTGTTAGTACTCAATGAAAGTTCTTGCCACAAAAATACATATATGAAGTATGAAAGTCCTGGCATTTATTGTTCACAAGTTAGAAATTTTGTGTAAAAGTGGGTCAAACTCCAAGGTCAAGGTCAAATTTGGTGTTATCCAAAGATAGGTCTTGTCACAAGAAATACATATGTGAAATATAATAGTCATAGCTCCACTACATCAAAATTTATGGGCAAGGTTAAAGTTTTTGTGGACAAACAGACAGCTAGACAGACGGATAAGAAAAAATCTATACGGGGGCATAAAAACACGAGTTTTACCAAAATTTTAGAGTTATCTCTCGTTGTTTTCCCAAATAAGTAAGGTTTTATGAAATCCCCTAAAATATCAATATAAATAATGAAATTCATTCGAAATTCTTAACTTTCGAAAATTGACTTGGAGGTAGGCGGGAGAACAATACTATCGTTCGCAGTTCTTTTCCTATTGTCCTCGCAAAGGAATTCACTTTTAAAGTAAGCATGGTCACTAGACCAAGCTGAAAACTGTCTATACCTGATCACTGCCAAGAATTTGAGCGAATGCGAAAATTGTGCTTTTTAATGATGATAACTTTTATGCTCAAATAACACTCAGGAAATTAAAATAGATTTCTCGCAAAGGAAGTCCAAATATCGGCGACCAGGGTCAGTTTCCTGTACCTGACAACGCTGCTGCAAATAAGCTTACAGAAATAAATAAGATCTTCAAGAAAACAAAGTATTTAAAACTTTTGCATTGAAGATATTCGCTTTATATTCTCTTTTTTTTTGCAATAAATCTTATCAGATGAAGTGGATGAACCATGGATATCAAATGTATCGTTTTTAAGTTGTCGGTAAATATAAGCTAATATTAACTTTTTTTTTTAAGATCATACGTTTATATAATAATAATAATAATAATAATATACCATTATTTGATACTCGTACATATTGGAATGTTTAAGATTAACTATTTTCTGGATCATGACAAGGAGCGAGTGTGACCAATTTACAGGGAGATGCCTACTCCGCCATGATCCCACCATATGTTTCCAGAGGTACCTGTCTGCTCAATGAACTTTGAAATTCTCAGCCTGATTACCGTTCGTTATCTCTATATATTTCTGGTCTTTATCTTTAAATTTAATATTCAGGGGTGTAATACTTTTATAATTTTAGTTACCTTGAATATTTTAAGTTTCTACAAACCACTCCCGCTTCATTTTTGTCCCAACCGCTGTTACATACTGTATGCCATTCGCTATTAACTAAAACATCAACCCGTCCTTCATATTCATAGCTACCGTTCACAATTCTAACTGAATCTGAAAAAAGACGTGTGTGTTGAGACAATATACAAACAATATTGTAAGAGAATAACACTTTCTCAATTCAGTACACTCAGTAGAAGATAATAAAATAAATCTGTTGAAGACTGGAGGCTGCTTTCCGGCCCAAGTGGATCTAGGGCAAAGTCCTGTTGGTCCTCAGGGGGCAAAGCCTTTAGAAGCTCCTGGTTATTTTTATTTTAAGAATATAACCAGACAGAAAAACGGTGTTATTGGTTAGTTATGTACACTATGATCACTTTTTATGCAATAATTCATAATCTAGGGAATACAAGATGTTCAGGCCTGATTTAAAACAAAACTTATACTTGGTCATTAAATAAAACTACCATTTTTCAATTGACCATTAATTATAAAACTAAAGTATGGCATTCTTAATATTAGTCGGAATGATGGACAAAAACATTCTACCCCGGTCAAATATGAATCATACGCTAAATATTCATCGTTACACCGGCCATTCATCTATACTCGTACATCGTTACTGACTTGCATCCAACAAAAGGATTGTTCACAATTTAAAAATATATATAATACCAAACTTCATATCTACACTTTTAATTTCATCAGGCGTTTATTATTGTCACGTACCTTCATTTTTTTGCTGACAAACGACTCCGGCTTGTCCATCATTAATACATTGACTGGGTTTTATCACTGATATTCGACATTCTGACAAAGACGATTCGCTTCCGGAACAAGATGCATCGCCCAACATCCATAAATTGTCCTTTTCCTCACTCAACACAGGTGAAGTTACTGGGAGTCCTCTAGAAAAGAGGATATATGGATACTTACCATGAATTACTGTAAAGAATGAGTATATGGAATTTACCGCAATGATGTCTCACATATTATTAAAAGACCTCGTGAAGATGCTTTATATAAAACATATTCAAATGTTAAAACCCGTTTTAAAAATGTTAACCTCGGGTTGCAAATATAGCAAAAAAAGTCACAACATTTGGCATTCAAAAGTTATTATTTTTCATTTATACGCATCAATGAAGGTTTCATATAATCAATAATATATTATTTATAAGAAGAAAACAAAGGAAAATTATATAAAAATTTTATATTTTGACAATCATTACAAATAGTAAATATATTGTATTACAACTGTATTTTCATTTAGAAAGAACGGCATTTAAATCGAAAGATAATGTATGAAAAATGCATAATACATGTATTGCTTATCTCTTTTTGCATAAATCAGTGCAAAGCTCATTTTGAAAAATCTCGTAATATGCTTGACACATAAAAGTTAAATTTTTCATATTTTTTTTCATCCAATGATAAATGGTGTTATAAGTACTATATGTAATTATTTAATGGTAAAGGAATGTTTCAATAACATGGCATCCCATAATTTAATTACATTATTTTTACAAAATATTAACATAAAATAACCCTTTGTATCCTAAACTTCTACAAGCCACATTGGCATCAGCTTTGTTCCAATTCCTGCTGCAAATAGTGCGCCATTTGCCATTAATGAAAACTTCCACACGACCCTCATGGAAAGAGCTACCATTAGCAATTCTGATAACATCTGAAAAGATATTAAAGAGAAAAAAATCAAGAAACTAAAGGGCCATTTAAGGGTCACCTTAATTTGATAAAATATTGTAAAGGTTCTAAATAGTATAAATAAAGATTTCTAACCGTTAGAGAGAAAAGAAAACAGCCAGCCTAGAATTCATTAACAATTTACAAAGTACCTTCGTTTACTAGTCAGTTTTAATACTGCTATTAAACCTGAGCAAAATTGTATTGCTTGGGCACTTAATTACAGCAAACCAATTCCCTCTTTCAATGTAGCGGATTTGAAAAACGTAATATAAATATACCAGGTAACCTATCTGACATTTGTCGACGTAACCAAGTTACCTTCCTGAAATTTGTTTGAAAGTGCCTGAAAAGGCGTACATGGCGATAGCGTTTGCATTAAATATTTTGTTATCTATTGGGATAATTACTTTTTATATATATGACTCCAAACTGCTACGGGACTGCAAAGTTATATGGTCACGACAAGGTCCGAAGGTCTGCGCTAAACTCCAATGATTTGACACGCTAAAGTCTGATAGTACGGAAAACAATTAACGTCTATAACCTCATAACGTCATAGTCAAATTGAATTCAATTTTTTTGCACACACCGTTGCAAATATAAACTATATCTTTCAAAAAATGCATCCTTCATTATAATTAATACTTAGATAACGTCTCTACATACCCAGGAAACTGAGAGGATTTTCGTAGAAACAAATGGATAAAACAGACAGTATTTTCAAGTTCAAAATTCCATAAACAATACAAAATAGGAGCAGAGCAAATATGGACCTCTCAAACATCAGAGGTGGGATCAGATGCCATGGAGGAGTGAGTATTCTCTGCCGACCGGTCACACCCGCCGTGTGCTCCTTGTCATGATCGGGAAAAAAAAAACCCAGAAAAATTCAGTGTTTAAGGGGGCCGACTATAGTTTTATTGTGTGAAAACTACAATAGCGAAACTCTTCATTTTTATACCATATATAACTTACAATAACTTCAGTGTACATGCAAAGTTTGGGGAAAATCTACCGTCCAGGTATTTTTGAGGGACCGTCTCAAAATACAGATACATTAACTATAGGATTATGTTGGAAAATGCCAATTTTTAGCACTTTAAAGCAAATTATACAAATACTACAATAGACATTTTGTTCAAACTATAATATTTTATGAGTAATACTATATGATACAATATATGTAAGAAACACAAAATTCTACCTTCTTGTTAAGAGAGGATCATCTCAAAATGCAAAAAATTAACAAATTTTACTATTTTTATAGAGTACTACAAAATATGACGTAAACAATGGATTCACAAGAAAACATTATAAAATGTTGGAGATATTCTAAAATTTCTATGTTTTAAATTTCAAGACCGTATGTTTATTACTTTTTCTGTAATAATATTTTTATTACCCCTTTGTTTAAGAGCTGCAGATTACCATAACGTCAAAAAGACACTGCAACGACGTCAGCCTACCTATCAATTGCCAAATCGAATTAAAAAAAATCAGTTATATCGAATTGTAATTACATTTTTATACCTATAATTTCTTAATTTTGTTTAATTTTAATAATTAAGCGAAAAAAATTGCATTAAAACAATAAATACGCTTCATTTTACTACGATGCGCGAAACATTGCGCAATGGAAACTATAGTCGGCCCCCTTAAATAATGGACCGAGAATTACAATGAAAAACGTCAGTCAATAGTTTACCCTGTTTTAGAAATTAAATTGTTCATACGTAGAGCATGCTCTTGCGAATCGAATCAACTAAGATATGTAAACTCCGAATGTAGGTGATGAAAGTATACTGAGGAAAAAGAAACGCACGGTAAACTTTTGAGGTGAATTAAATTAATTTTTCTTTTAATTTTTTTCAGTATTCCAATCTAACTTTTAAAATCATCTTTTAAAAAGATATAACAAAATCCCATTTGATTTTGTTTAATAGAAGCTCATATGACGATTCCCCCCCCCCCCCCAAAGTGAAAATCAAAAACTCTCATTATCTTGAATGTCTCTCTCGCGCATCTATCATGAAACTATCTCTCAATCCCTGGCTATATTGGGTATGGGAAACAACGCCAAAAAATTATTCATGCGACGCGCGCATGCGCCAGTGAGAGGAACACAACAATAAGTTGACCGGCTCAAAAAATCAAATTGCGAAATTATTTTCTTTCATTTATTGTGTAAATGTAATTATTACAATAGTCTACTGTATAAAAGGCGGTTTTGGGGGGTAGTAAGGTGGCGATTTAAGAGATGACAGGCCGAATTACCCACTCGTAACATGACTCTTTTTCGCGTTAACGTCATCGTCACGGTTGATTGAAAACCATTTCATGCCCTATCTGACAATGGGTAACAAGTTTTATGGGGAAAAATTTACAAGAAACTGCTTACATGTAGTTACTCGTTGTTGCCTTTTTTCATTAATTAGGCAAATCGAAAACCAAACCCCATAGAACTTCTGTAAAATGTACCAAGATTGCAAGAAATTCATATCGTCTCTAAATATTGAAAAACAATGTGTATACCTCAGGTGCATCAAATGGTGCAACAAGATTTGTTGACAAACTCGTCGTCATCAATTTGCAGTGAGGGATCATTTTCGTGTCAGCATCTCCTGCGACATGGGACCTCTGTTTATACGGTGTAATCCAAAGGACCAGTCCCACAGTGGAATTCGAACCCGCGACGTAAGGATCAACTCCTTACTTCGCGACTCCAGAGTAGATGCTCTAAACACTGCGCCACTCGGGCGACGACAACATTAGAAGGCTGAGATCCAGATTGTCCAAAACATTCACAATTTGAGAAAAGGCATCAAAACTATGAATTTAGTATGCTTGCTTTATGTATAAAGGAGCCAGAGAAAAAGAATACTGGTCATACGAACGGCTTGGAAGAGGCTTCTTTGTACATTATAACATAATATGCATGTTTTTGGCTTAATAGTCCAGTCAATGAACGACTGGACCCGAAACAATTTACAAATTGCAAAAGAAGAAATAAATGCATAGAAACTTTCATTTATGTATTGTTATTAATCTCTAAAAATTCGCCATTGATTAGTCACTGTATAACAATTTTCTGCGAATTATCTAAATTATTGTTAAACGAAATTCATTATAGCGTAATGTGCCCTCCATATGCAATACGGAATGTGTCGTCATGATAACAACCAACATGACAGCGGAAGATTATCTGCTAAGATTATGTAAATAATTATTCTATATTGATTCAATAACTTTTTAAGTGTATTATTCATATCTACTTTATTTCGACACGCAACTATTAAAAGTATTAGAGAAAACAGCATTCACTCTGTTTCAATTAATTCCTTCATAGCATACGCAAATCTCCCACAAGCATCTTCTTAATGTTAAAAATATGATACTCATATTCAACACATTAATTAGAATTATGGTTTTACAAAGAAAACCAAAGCTTTGGAATGGTATTTTGCTCATATGTCGCTGATTATTTACGTTTTTATCAATGTGTTTACATTGACTCTGTCCAAAATAAAAAACAAGAGGCCCAGGGGCCACATCGCTCACCTGAGTGAAAGACCTTTACTTGCAAGAATTATGCATGTAGATGTTAGAGTACGGACTTCCTCTTTTTATTCATTTACTTTAATTAGGCTTGAGCCTTGATGTAAGCATAAAATTGCCAAGAATGGCTTTCTTTTCAACCAGTGCTTAATGCCTACCTCATTATCAATTTAGTCATAAAGAAGTTAATCTCAGTTTTTTTGCAGAATATAACACTTGTACCGTCAACTCTGAACTCTAATATGCTTTTATTGAACAATAACATTTCTCTCCTTTTTGGGGGATGTAACATTAGCTATGATAGTTATAATAAAAACAGAAAATGTGAGTAAGATTTTACTTTTATTTCTTTAAAAAAATTCAACAGATTTAGTAAAAATTTATCAGACAATTAGTAGATAATATAATAAAAACTAGAAGCATTAATAACAATCAACTATCTAAATTTCATAAGACTTCAACAGACATATATGCACACAGTATCAAATATGCAATATTTTGTGACAGAAATGCAAAATAACATTACATGTAAACATGCAAATTGTAAACAGTGAAAACATTTGTTTAGAGGAGAGTTCAATACATCAAAGTAATCATTTGGAAAATACGAAATACACTGTATTCATGTTTAAGTTCACTTAATAGTGAATCTTTCCTATACATAACGAAAGCAAAAACTGGAAAGAATGCAACCGAAAGTGAATAATTATATGATGGTCAACAGACTCTGACTTTGAATATCAACTATTAATTTTTAAGGATTTTTAATAAGTAACATTTACTTGCAGTACCTGCAGGAATCAGATTACCTAAACTTGATGGTAATATTCCAAAATGGAATGATTACCATCTTTTTGAAATCAATAATTTTGATTTTAAAGACCAGTCATGAGAAGTTATAGTGATCCACCTTTTTTTTCCTCTCTTTTATAGGAAAAATTGTAATGTTATAAAGAGGTAGGTTTACCTCCCTTTACGGGCTGTCCATTGACCCCCTCTTTTCATACTTACCTGGGTATAAGTTTTTAATATATAGTCGATTCTCATTAGATTATTTTATAATGGTGGTCACATATTAAATATCTCAATGCTGGAGAAAATGAAATGATTCAATTAATATAGAGGTAACTGGAGTTTCTCTCTGATTATGCAGGTTGGTTTCCTATTCTACACAGGTAACTAAGGCTAGTAATTACAAGTAAATATTTAAAGCAGTTTCTGAATGTTTTGAAATACAAAAATACAATTAACTTAAACATTTTAAGACAAAAATCAAAAAAGATAAATAATCAAGTCAAAATATTTCAACACAAATTTTCATATATACAATGAACATTATTTCAAAACAAAATGATGTAAATGATATGCATTAAAAAAATCTCTAACAGAGCTGTGCTTTCAAAATTCATGTATCAAATTCCATTT